ATTTTAATATTTTAATATTTTAATATTATATTATATTATATTATATTATATTATATTATATTATATTATATTATATTATATTATATTATATTATATTATATATTCCTATTTATGTTATTTTGTATTATATTACTATTTATATTATTTTATTCTTTATTATTATACCATATCATGTTAAAATCTATTTTCTACATGACATCAATAGCCTATAATATAAAATGTGTAATTTCCCTACATCCTTTATACAATATAAATTTATTTGCGTGTATGATAAAATCCTACACACACTTTTAATCCATGAAAATAGAAACTTGAAAAAACCTAAATATAAAAAAACTTAATATGAACTTTAAAAACTTAGTAAATTGTATGGATATCTTGCATGGAATATATTATTAAAAATGGGATCGGATCTTTTGCTTTGTTTCTCTTCTGGGCGGGGACGGGCACAGCTGGGTGGGCAGGGGGAACATCTGGATGGGGCACAGCCGGGCAGGACACATCTGGGCTTGGCAGTGGCACAGCTGGCAGGGGCACATCTGGATGAGAGGGGCACATCTGGGTGACCAAGGCACATCTGGATGACCGAGGCGCATCTGGCGGGGAGGGGCCGGGGCGGGGCCGGGCGGCGGCGCCGGGGCGGGGCCGGGGCTGAGCGCGGCTCGGGCGGGCGGCAGCGGAGCCACGGTGAGGGACCGGGGCCGGGGCCGGGGCCGGGGGTGTCCCCTCTCCCCGGGCGGGGCCGGGGCTCCGACCATCCCGGGGACCGGGGGCTGCTGCCCACCGCGCTGCCCTACGCCCCCTCCGCCCCCTGCCCAGACCCCAGCCCCAAAAACCCCCGCCCCCTGCCCTATAACTGCCCAGACCCCAGCCCCATAGTCCCCTCGCCCATGCCCTATAACTGCCCAGACCCCAGCCCCATAGACCCCTCGCCCATGCTCTATAACTGCCCAGCCCCCAGCCCCATAATGTCCTCGCCCCCCGCCTTACAGCTGCCCCAGCCCCCAGCCCCATGAAACCCCCGCCCCCAGCCCCACAATCCCCTCGCCCATGCTCTATAACTGCCCATCCCCCAGCCTCATTATCTCCCCGCCCCCTGCCCAGACCCCAGCCCCAAAAAGCCCCGCCCCATGCCCTATAACTGCCCAGACCCCAGCCCCAACAACCCCCGCCCCATGCCCTATACCTGCCCAGCCCCCAGCCCCATACCCGCCCCTGCTCACGGCGGGTGTGGGGGGTTGGATACCCCGGGGGTCCCTCCCTCGCCATGGGGGGCTGTGTTTGGGGTGCCCCCAGGGTTTTGGGGTGCCCGCTGTTGAGGCTGCCGTGCCCCCAGGCGCTGCCCGCTCCGGATGCCGGCAGGATGGCGCTGCTCCCCGTCGTGGCGCTCTTGGCTCTGTGCCCCCTCCTCGCCCGGGCAGGTACCCACGGGCAGGGGTGTGGGGGGTCCGGGCAGAGCCCCCGCTCCCCGGGACCCCCTCCCCAACCCTCCTTTCCTCCCCTGCGCGGAGACCGCGGCGGGGACCCCGAGGGGAGGGCGGGGGCGCCGTTCCCGGCAGGGCGGTGACTCACGGGGCGGCTGCTTGGCTCCTCCGAGCCCTCGGGGCTGGCACCAGGCCCTGGCACCACCGAACACCCGGTCCTGGCTCCTCCGAGCCCTCGGTGCTGGCACCAGGACCTGGCATCACGGAGTCCCCGGTCCTGGCACCACGGAACCCCCGGTCCTGGCTCCACCAAGCCCCCGGTCCTGGCACCACCGAGCCCTCGGTGCTGGCACCAGGACCTGGCACCATGGAGTCCCCGGTCCTGGCTCCACCGAGCCCTCGGTTCTGGCACCTTGGAACCCCCGGTCCTGGCACCACCGAGCCCTCGATTCTGGCACCACCGAACACCCGGTCCTGGCCCCACCGAGCCTCTGGTCCTGGCACTACCGAGCCCTCGGTTCTGGCACCACCGAGCCCCCGGTCCTGGCACCTCCAAGCCCCCAGTCCTGGCTCCACCGGCCGTGTCCCCACAGATGTCCCCTGTCCCCTTGTCCCGCAGGTGGCCCCTGTACCCCATCCCTGGTGTCCCCGCGTGCTGACCCCGCTGTGTCCCCTCCCAGACCAGCCTCCTGTCACCGTCACGGTGACAGCGGCCATCGGCGAGGACGCCTGCCTGCCCTGCGGCTCGCAGCCCTGGGGTGACCTGCGCGGGGTCACCCTCAGCTGCACCCACCAGGCCGGCGACCACCACGCTGTCCCCGTCCTCAGCCACCGCCTGGGCTGGCAGCCACCGCCCCCCGAGCCGGGCTGGCAGCCGCCCGTGCAGCCCGACAGCCGCTTCAGGGGCAGGGTGGCCTTCTGCGCCGTGGGGACAGGGGACAGCGGCGTGTCCCTGCTGCTGAGGAACCTCAGCGATCCCGATTTCGGGAATTATTCCTGCTACGCCACCCGCGCCGCCGCCCCGCAGCTCCTCTGCTCCCTGGTGCTGCAGCCTGCGGTGGCAGGTGAGCGGGGCAGGGGTGGCACTGTCCCTTTTGGGGTCCCTCTGCTCCCTGGTGTGTCCAGCCCTGGGTGGTGCCAGAATTTGGGGGTGTCCCCAATTCCCTGACCCATCTGTCACCTCCTCCAGCTCTGTCCCCATCTGGGTGATGCCAGGTGTCCCCCCTCTGTTCCCCTGTCCCGTTTGGGGTCCCCACAAGGTGTCTGTCCCTTGTCCTACCTTGGAAGTGCCATATGTCCCTGCCATGTTCCCCTGCCCCCTATCCTGTTTGGGGTCCCCACAAGGTGTCTGTCCCTTGTCCCATCTTGGCAGTGCCAGGTGTCCCTGTTCTGTTCCCCTGCTCTATTTGGGGTCCCCACAAAGTGTCTGTCCCTTGTCCCATCTTGGCAGTGCCAGGTGTCCCTGCTCTGTCCCCCTGCCATGTTTGGGGTCCCCGCATGCCCTGATGTGTCCCTTGTCCCTGGCGTGTCTGTCCCTGATGTGTCTGTCTGTCCCTGACTTTGCTCTGCGGGGACAGTTTGGGGTTCCCCCAGCCTGGCACAGCACAGGGAGTGGGGGGTGGCCCGGCTGGTGTCCCCACATGCCACTGTCACCCCGCAGAGGTCCCCAAGGCCGCGGAGCCGGACATGCTCATGGTGATTTGTGTCCTCACGGCCGCCTTCACCGCGGTGGCCATCGGGGTGCTGGTGTGTGCCCACTGCCAGGGCCACTGCTGGGGGCGCCCAGGTGGGTGGGGGGCACAATGGGGGTGCTGGGGGGCACAAAGGGGAGTGTGGGGGCACAGGGAGGTGTTGGGGGGTGCTGGGGGATATAGAGGGGGGTGCTGGGGAGCACAGGGGGGTGTTGGGGGATGCTGGGGGCACAAACAGGGGATGTTGTAGGATGGGGGCAGTTGGAGACCCTTTGGTCCACTGGGGATGGGATTCTGTGTGGGGAGGGGATTTGCAGCTCCCTTGTGGGGATAGGGCGGGATGGGATCCATGGGATGGAATGAGACGGGATCCATGGGATGGGATGGGATCCATGGGATGGGATGAGACGGGATCCATGGGATGGGATGGGATCCATGGGATGGGATGAGACAGGATCCATGGGATGGAATGAGACGGGATCCATGGGATGGGATGGGATCCATGGGATGGAGTGGGATGGGACCCATGGGATGGAATGAGACAGCATCCATGGGATGGGACCCATGGGATGGGATCCATGGGATGGGGTGGGATGGGATGGGATCCATGGGATGGGGTGGGATGGAATAGGATGGGATCCATGATATGGGATGGGATGGGACGGGATCCATGGGATGGGGTGGGATGGGATCCACAGGACAGGATCCATGGGATGGGACGGGATCTATGGGGTGGGATGGGATGGGTTCCTTTGGACAGGATGAATGAGATGGGATCCATGGGATAGGATCCATGGGATGGGGATGGGGATGGGGATGAGGATGAGGAGGGAATGGGGTGGGGATGAGGACGGGGATGGAGACAGGGCAGGGATGAGGACGAGGGTGTAGATGGTGACAGGACAAGGATGGGGACAGGGATGGGGATGGGGACAGCGCTGTGTGGGGCCAGGCTTGTCCCATGTCCCCACTCTCTGTCCCCTCAGCACGGGGCCCAGCCCAGGAGCCCGCAGCCGTGGCTGCAGGGGAAGAAGGAGAGGTGGCCTTGGGTGACATCAAGAGTGCCAATGCCTGAGGCCACCCCCAACAGGACCGGTCCTCATGTGACACCGGGGCAGGACACGGCCCCGACTGCCCCAGTGGGGGGCACAGGGCTGGGGCGATGCTCTGGGGTGGGGGTGCAGGATGGGTTTGGGGGCTGCACAATGGTTTGGGGTGGGGGGCTCTGCTCGGACCCCCAGGGATGGGCAGGAGACAGCGCAGGGTCCCCCTGCCCTCCAGGGGACACCCAAACCCCGGGATCCCATGGCTGGGGGGGGACAAACCCGGAGACCCCAAATAAAGAGCATTGCTCCAGAGTGGGGGTGACCCTTCCTTCCCACCCACCAGGGGTCAGGGGGCTTGGGAGGGGGGATGTGGGGTATGGGGGGACCCTTTTAGGGCTGGGGTGTGGGGTCACATGGTGTCCCCATTTAGGGGTGGCTGTGGGGGTCACACGGTGTCCCCATTTAGGGACAGGCTGTGGGGATCACATGGTGTCCCCATTTAGGGACAGGCTGTGGGGGTCACACGGTGTCCCCATTTAGGGGTGGCTGTGGGGTCCCGGTGTCCCCAAGCGCGCTCGTTCTCTCACGGCCGCTGGGGGGCGCTGTTGGCGGAGGGGCAGGGCTGGCCCCGCCTATGGACACGCCCACCACGGACAGGTGCGGCAACGCACGGGGGCGGGACCCGCGGGGTGTGAGTGACGGGACGGTTATCCAATGGGAAGGCAGAGTGATGAAGATCCAGCCAATGAGTGGGCGGGAAGGGGAACGGGACCCGAGGGCGGGCCTCGGTGGCGCTCGCCGCGGGGCGAAGCGGGGACCGGTGCGGTTCGGCCCCGCTCGGCCCCGCTCGGCCATGGCGAAGCGGGCGGCGGTCCCCGCCGGGCCCCTCGGGGACGATTTTTCCTTCGTGAGCCCGGTGGCCAAGTACATGCTTTTCTTCTTCAACCTGCTCTTCTGGGTGAGTGCGGGGACACCGGGACACCGCGCTCCCGAAGGACGTCCGGACCCGGGGGCTGGCCCCATCCCTGGGACACCGCCATCCCCGGGACTCCCCATCCCTGGGATCCCACCGGGACCCCCCAGTCCTTGGAAATGCCTCCATCCCTGAACCCTTTTGGGACCCCCCCATCTCCGGGACCCCCAGCCCCTGGGAATGTCTCCATCCCTGAACCCTATTAAGATCCTCCATCCCTGAGATCCCACTGAGACCCCCAGCCCTTGGGAATGTCTCCATCCCTGAACCCTTTTGGGATCCCCATCTCCAGGACCCCCCAGCCCTCGGGAATGTCTCCATCCCTGAACCCTTTTGGGATCCCCCATCCCTGAGATCCCACTGAGACCCCCAGCCCTTGGGAATGTCTCCATCCCTGAACCCTTTTGGGATCCCCCATCCCTGAGATCCCATCGGCACCCCCAGCCCTTGGAATGTCTCCATCCCTGAACCCTTTTGGGATCCCGCATCCCCAGGGACCCCTGGCCCTCTCTCCAGCCCAGGACCTACTTGGGATCCTGCATTCCCCCAGCCCACCTCCATCCTCAGGATCCCACCGGGAACCCCCTGGCTTTGGAGCTGTCCCCACCCCTGGTCCCCACTGCAATGCGCTCTCCTCGGGATCCCTGGAGCCCCCCAACCCCAGTGTTCCCCCATTCCTGATGGACTCCTGGCCCCTGGGAGTGTCCCCATCCCTGGACCCCATTGGGATCCCCCATTCCAGAACCTACAGAAGGGGTTGCCCCATTCCCCGAGGGTTTTTGGGGTCCTTTGGGTCCCCACCACTTCACTGGGACCCTTCCTGGCCCCTCACAGGTGACAACCCCCAGAGAGGGGGACAGAGGCCCCTCTTGTCCCCAGCCCTCCCCAGGGACATCTCCTGCAGGGAAGCCACAGTTTTCCATGTTTGGGGGCCTTTTTGATGTTTGTTTGTTGTTTTTTTTTTATATTTTGAGGAATTTTTATGTTTTTGGGAAGTTTTATGTTTTGAATAATTTTTAATGCTTCCAGGATTTTTTAAAAACGTTTTAGAGACTTTTGTACTTCTTGTTCGGTTTGGTGGGTTTTTTTTTTATGTTTGGGGGTTTTTAATGCTTTTGGGAGGGTTTTTTTACAGGGACTTTTTGTGGGTTATTTCCGTGTTTGCCATTCTATTTTTGAGGAAGTTCTGTACTTCCCATAAACCACATTGCTGTGTCCAGCCACCCGTAGAGGAACAGCGCTGGCTGGCAAGTCACCTCCAGGGAGGTGGGGACAGATGTGACCGCCCAGTAGGAGGGGACACAGTGCACACCATGCGACAAGGGGAAGCTGAGGCAGCGGCTGCAGCTCGGGTGCATGCCTGGCTTTGGGGAGCTGCAGGTGGGGCCGTGGGTGTGGCACGGGGGTCACCTGTGTCCCTCTGCAGATGATCTCCATGGTGATGGTGGCCGTGGGGCTGTACGCCCGGCTGCTGAAGCACGCAGGTGAGCTCGGGGGCTCCCCAGCCCTGCTGGTTCCAAGCCACCAGCACGGTTGGGGTGGCACGTGGGGTCCTGGGGGTGCTGGCAGTGTGGTGACAGCTCGTCCATGGTGACAGAGGCAGCCATGGCGTGCCTGGCAGTGGACCCTGCCATCCTCCTCATCGTGGTGGGCGTCCTCACCTTCCTCATCACCTTCTGCGGCTGCGTGGGCTCCCTGCGGGAGAACATCTGCCTGCTGCAGGTGGTGAGTCCTGCCAGGAGTGGGGACCCTGCTGGGGACCCTGGTGGCATCTCGGTGCCCCCCTCACCATCACCTTCCTCTTCCCCTCACCTTCACCTTCCTCTTCCCTCAGTTCTCCGTCTGCCTGACCATCATCTTCCTCCTGCAGCTGGCGGCCGGCGTGCTGGGCTTTGTGTTCTCTGATGAGGTACTGATAAGGGAGGGCAGCGGGGGTGCTGGGTGACCCCAGTCCTGTCCTGCTGGGTGGCAGCCTCACTGCTGTCCCCCCACTTGTCCCCCAGGCCCGTGGGAAGGTCAGCGAGATCATCAACGGGGCCATCGTGCATTACCGGGATGACCTGGACCTGCAGAACCTCATCGATTTCGGGCAGAAGGAGGTGACAGGGGGACCTGCAAGGGTGGGGTGTCCCTCCAGTGGATGGGGACATGTCCCCATTTCCATGTCAGGCTTACATCTGTGGGGTAGCACAGGCTGGGGATGTTGGATGGCTCTTCCAAGACGTTCACGGTGATGTCCTGCCTGGCAGGGGGAGGCTGGGGAGGGCTGGGGGCACAAAGAGCCCTGAGTGTCCTGTCCCCCTGCTGTGGGCTGGGGTCCCCTCCCCACTGAGCCCCGTGTCCTGCCCGCAGTTCAGCTGCTGCGGGGGTGTCTCCTACAAGGACTGGTCCCAGAACATGTACTTCAACTGCACAGCCACCAACCCCAGCCGCGAGCGCTGCTCCGTGCCCTTCTCCTGCTGCCTGCACGACGCTGACCAGGTCTGTGCTGGGGTGGCCTCAGGGGACCCTGCCCGTGCCTGTCCTCCCTGCCCCAGGGAGGGGACCCTGCCCGTGCCTGTCCTCCCTGCCCCGCGGGCTGGGCTGGGCCTGGAGCCCTGCCCAAGGGAAGGGAACACTTATGGACCCCATCCCACCCTCTGGGTTTAGGTTCCCCCATCCCACCCTCTGGGTTTGGGTTCCCCCATCCCACCCTCTGGGTTTGGGTTCCCCCATCCCACCCTCTGGGCTTGGGTTCCCCCATCCCACCCTCTGGGTTTGGGTTCCCCCATCCCACTCTCTGGGTTTGGGTTCCCCCATCCCACCCTCTGGGTTTGGGTTCCCCCATCCCACCCTCTGGGTTTGGGTTCCCCCATCCCACCCTCTGGGCTTGGGTTCCCCCATCCCACCCTCTGGGTTTGGGGACTCCTGTGTGGAAATGCTGTGGTGAGGTGGGGGAGAATTCTCCCTCTCCAGAGCTGGGATTGGCTCTTTGGGGCCAGGTGGCTCTGGAGGGACAGCGTGGAGACACTGAGGAAGGGACACCCCACCAAGGCAGGGGCCTGGTCTCTCCAGCTGCCCCCCAAGAGCAGGGAGCCCAGTGTGTTCTGTCCCCAGCCCCTCTGTGTTCTGTCCCCTCTCCCAGGCTGTCATCAACACCATGTGTGGCCACGGGATGCAGGCCAGGGGCTACCTGGAGGCCAGTGCCTTCATCCACACCAACGGCTGCATCGACAAGCTGGTCAACTGGACCCACAGCAACCTCTTCCTGCTGGGGGGCATCGCCCTGGGGCTGGCCCTGCCCCAGGTACGGGGCTGGGGGACCAGGGGCTGCCCCAGAGCTCTGCTTTGGGGGGTTTTTTTGGGGAGTTGCCTTAATAGTGGCTGGTTGTGAGATGGGGGAGCTGGGATGGGATTTGGGGTGGGGGAGTGATGCAAATGTCCGGCATGGGGGGCATGGGGTGACATTGCCTGGTGTTGCTCAGTACCTCCTTCTCCCCCATCCCTCTTGCCCTTTCTCTTGCTTTTCTCTCCTTCCTCTTCCTCTCCCACTTCCCTCTTCCCTTTCCCTTCCTCTCCCTTTCTCTCCCTGCTTCCTCTTCCCTTTCCCCTTCCTGTCTCATTTCTTTCCCTGTTCCCCTTCCTATTTCTCTTCCCTTCTCCCCCCTCTTCCTCTCCCCTTCCTCTTCCTCCTCCCTTCTCCTTCCCCTTTGCCTTCCCTTTATCTCACTTGCCCTTTCCTCTCCCTCTCCTCCATCTCCCTCTTCCTCCTCTCCCCTTCCTCCTCTGCCCTCCCTCTCCTGATCTATCCCCCTTTCCTCTCCCCATCCCTCTCCCTTTCCCACTCCCTTCCGCTCTCGTTTCCCTCCCCTTCCCTCTCCCCTCCAGGTGGTGGGCATCATCCTGGCGCGGCTCCTCATCAACCAGATCCGTGACCAGATCAAGCTGCAGCTCTACAACCAGCAGCACCGGGCAGACCCCTGGTCCTGAGCCCGCACCCTCCGGGCAGCACGGCGGCGCTCCCGGGGCCATTCCGAGCCCCGGATCCGCGGGGACAGCCCGAGGGGCTCCGCTGGACGAGAGGGAATGCGGATCCGCGGTGGCCGCACAGGAGACTCCGTGCCTTCGGCAGCCGGTGCTGGGCTCGGCCTGGAGGTGCTGAGCTGAAGCAGCGCCGGGGAATCGCTGTCTGTCTGTCCGTCTGTCCGTCCATCCTGCTGGCGCACAAAGCTTCGCACTGGGAATGTGCTTCCCCTCCCCGCGTGCGCTGGAGAAGGACGTTTGTCTGTCTGTCTGTCTGTCCGTCCGTGCACCGAGCTGCCTTCGCCCAGGCCGGGCTGCGGGGCCGGGGATGACCCCCCCACCCCGTGTCCGGGTGTCCGTCTCGGTGTCGCTGGCCGCGGGGACAGCCGAGGGCACAGCACGGCCGGCCGAGGGGGCCGAGGGGGTGCCGGGCTGTGCCCATTGCTTGCCTTTCCCGGACAATAAACACACGAGGCCAGACGCTCCGGGCTGTGCCGGGCTGCAGGGGCCGGGGACACCGCGGTGGCTCTGGGGACACGCGAGGCCACGCCAGGCCGCGCCGCGGCCCTGTGCTGTTGTGAGACCCCAAAACGAGCGGGGAAAAGCGGCCGAGCGGCCTGGCCCGGCCCCTCGGAGCTGTCGCAAACCCGTGGGTGGAGTTTTTGGGGTTGGGTTTTTAGAGTTTTTTTCTTTTAATGTTCCCTTCGGCTCGGGCTGGGTGGTCCCTCCCGCGGAGGGAGCCGGGATGCGGCCCAGGGCCCGGCTCTTTGTGTGCGGCCGGGACGCTTCTCTCCCATAAAAAACCCTTTTTTTGGCTTTTTTTCCCCCTCAAAACCCGCCTCATCCCCCCACCGAAATGGGATTTCTTCCCCCAAAAGTGATTGCTTCTCCGAGCAATGGCACCTCCCCGCAAAATAAAAAAGTGATTTTTCTCCCTCCGAAACTCACTTTTCTTCCCAAAACTTCCCCTCCGAAGAGCTACTTCTCACCCCGAAAAAGCAAGTTTACTCTAAGAAGTAGCTGCTCTCAAAAAAAAGGCTTTTTCCCCTCAAAAACCCCATCTTTTCTCCCCAAAAACCAACTTTTCTTTACCCAAAAGTGTCTTTTGTCGCCCCAAACTGATTTCCCCCCCAAAAAAGTAACTTACCCCTAAAAAAGGGAGTTTCCTCCACAAAAATCAAGCTTTCTCCCCCAAAACTGATTTTTCCCCAAAAAGAGTACTCCCCCCAAAAAAGTAACTTTTTTCCCCCAGAAAAAGTGTATTTTTTTCCCAGAAAAGTAACTTTTGCTCCCCAAAAAGTAACTTTTCTCTTTAAAAGTAGCTTTTCTTCTCCCAAAAGCGGCTTCTTTCCCCGCAAAGGCAACTTTTCACCTCCAAAAAGTAACTTTTTACTCACAAAGGCCTTTTCATCAGAGAGACATTTTATTTCACAGGGAAAAAGGGATCTTTTCCTCACAAGAAGGAACTTTTCCCACACAAAATTTATATTTTCCTCATATAAAGTGATGGTTTTGTCACTAAAGTGACTGTTTCCTTCGAAAATTGGACCTTTTCATGATAAAAATGAACTTTCCCCTCACAAATAGTGACTTTTTCCTCACAAAAAGAGATTTTTTCCTCATGCTGGAGTTTTTCTGCATAAAAGGGAACTTTTCCCCTCAGAAAAAGGAATATTTTCCCTACAAAATGTGACTTTTTCTCACAAAAAACCACTTTTTCCTCACAAAGACCTTATGTGAGAGGGACTTTTTCCTCCCAAAATAAGACTTTCCCCTCACTTTTTAGCAACTTTTTCCCCTCACAGAAAGTGACTTTTTCCTTATAGAAAGGAACTTTTCCTCATAAAAAGGAACTTTCCCTGACCAAAAGTGACTCTTTCGTCACAAGAGGAACTTTGTCCTCACAAAAGGAGACTCTTTCCTCCCAAAAAAAGCATTTTCCCTCACTTTTTAGCGACTTTTTCCTCATGAAAAGGAACTTTTCCTGACCAAAAGTGACTTGCGTCAAGAGAGGAACTTTTTCCCTCACAAGAAACTCTTTCCTCCCCAAAAAAAAATCATTGTCCCTCACTTTTTAGCGACTTTTTCCTCATGAAAAGGAACTTTTCCTCATGAAAAGGAACTTTTCCTCACAAAAAGGAGCTTTCCCTCAGAAAAAGGGAACTTTTCCTCAGAAAAATGAAACTTTCCCTGACCAAAAGTGACTCTTTCCTCACGAGAGGAACTTTTTCCTTCACAGAAGGGGACTCTTTCCTCCCAAGAAAAAAGACTTTTCCCTCACTTTTCAGCGACTTTTCCCCTCACAAATCGCGTCTCTTACCCTCCGCAGCGCTTCCCCCGCGGTCCCTCCCTCAGCCCGCCCCGGCGGGGGGCGCGGGCCGGGCCGGGCCGCGGGCGGCGGCGGCGGCGGCGGAGGAGGAGGAGCAGCAGCAGCGGGGCCGCTCCGCTCGCTCCCGGCGAGCCCAACAAAGGCGGCGGGGCCATGGCGGGCCCCTCGCCCCGCTGCGAGCCGCCCTAAGCCCGCCGAGCACCGCCGCGATGTGGCCGGGCCGCGGCGGGCGGCGCTGGGCGCTGGCGCTGGCCCTGGCGCTGGCCCTGGGCGGGCGCTGCCCCGCCGCCCCCAACGCCTCGGCCGGGCCCCCGCGCTGCCGCCGCCCCGCGCCCTGCGAGCGGCTCCGCTTCGGCGCCTGCCTGGGCTCCGCGCTGCCCTACGCAGCCACCTCCACGCTGCTGGCCACCGACTCCGCCTCGCAGGAGGAGGCGCACGGGAAGCTGCTGCTCTGGTCCGGTACGGACGGGACGGCACCGGGAGCGGGGAGAGTGCGGGAGAGGCCCGGGATGGGGCTGGAGGGGGATGGGGAGCGGGGAAGGCGGGGAGAGCTTGGACGGGGGTTTGGGTGTAGTGTGGGGGAGCTGGGGATGGGTACAGTGTAGAAAACTTCATAGAGGGGGGGCTGGGGATGGGTACAGTATAGAAAACTTCATAGAAGGGGGGCTGGGGATGGGTAGAGTATAGAAAAGTGCCTAGCAGGAGGCTGGGGATGGGTAAAGTATAGAAAACTGCATCCAGGGGGCCTGGGAGTGAGTACAGTCTAGAAAACTGTGTCGAGGAGGGGATGAGGATGGGTACAGTATAGAAAACTCTATAGCACAGGGCTGGGGATGGGTACAGTATAAAAAACTTTATAGAGGGGGGCTGGGGATGGATAAAGTATAGAAAACTTTGTAGAGGGGGTTTGGGGATGGGTACAGTATAGAAAACTGTATAGCAAAGGGCTGGGGAGGGGTACAGTAGAGAAAACTTCATAGAGGGGGGCTGGGGATGGATAAAGTATAGAAAACTTTATAGAGGGGGTTTGGGGATGGGTACAGTATACAAAAGTGCCTAGCAGAGGTCTGGAGATGGGTAGAGTATAGAAAACTTTATAGAGGGGGGCTGAGGATGGGTAAAGTACAAAAAAATGTATAGCAAAGGGCTGGGGATGGGTACAGTATAGAAAACTCTATAGCAAAGTGCTGGGGATGGGTACAGTATAGAAAACTTCATAGAGAGGGGCTGGGAATGGGTAAAGTATAGAAAAGTGCCTAGCAGGGGGCTGGAGATGGGTAGAGTGTAGAAAACTGTATAGAGGGACGCTGGGGATGGGGACAGTATAGAAAACTTTATAGAGGATGAGTGAGGATAGGTAAAGTATAGAAAACTTATATAGCACTGGCCTGAGAATGAGTACAGTATAGAAAACTGCATAGAGGGGGGCTGGGGATGGGTGCACTGCAGAAAAGTGCCTAGCAGGGGGCTGGGGATGGGTACAGTATAGAAACCTGATTAAAATGGGACTGGAGATGGGTACAGTGTAGCAAACTGATAAAAAAGGGACTGGAGATAGGAGCAGCATGGAGGGGAGCAGTACAGTGGGTGTCTGGGGATGGGCACAGTACAGCAAACTGTACAGCACAGGAGTGGAGATCGTGTAATGTGGAGAGGAGCAGGAGATTGGGGTACAGGGAGGGTGTGGTGTAGAGGGGGAACAGGATAGAATGGCCTCAGAGATGGGTACAGCAGGAGGCTGGGGATGGGTGCAGTGTAGAGAATGGTTTATCAGGGGCTGAGGGTGGGCACAGTATGGAGGGGCAGCCCTGGTGATGGGCACAGTGGCCCTACAGGAGGGGTCCCCAGTGCTGTGTGGGTGCTGTGGGGACAGCAGGAGGGTCCCACAGAGGGGTCCCAGCGCTGTGTGGGTGCTGTGGGGACGGCAGGAGGGTCCCACAGAGGGGTCCCCAGTGCTGTGTGGGTGCTGTGGGGACAGCAGGAGGGTCCCACAGAGGGGTCCCAGTGCTGTGGGGGCAGCAGGAGGGTCCCACAGAGGGGTCCCAGCGCTGTGTGGGTTCTGTGGGGCTGGCAGGAGAGTCCCACAGAGGGGTCCCAGTGCTGTGGGGACAGCAGGAGGGTCCAACAGAGGGGTCCCAGCGCTGTGTGGGTGCTGTGGGGACAGCAGGAGGGTCCCACAGAGGGGTCCCAGTACTGTGGGGACAGCAGGAGGGTCCCACAGAGGGGTCCCAGCGCTGTGTGGGTGCTGTGGGGACAGCAGGAGGGTCCCACAGAGGGGTCCCTGTGCTGTGTGGGTGCTGTGGGGACAGCAGGAGGGTCCCACAGAGGGGTCCCAGCGCTGTGTGGGTGCTGTGGGGACGGCAGGAGGGTCCCACAGAGGGGTCCCTGTGCTGTGTGGGTGCTGTGGGGACGGCAGGAGGTGGCCGTGCCGGGGGTGGTGACGGTGCTGTCCCTTCCCCGCAGGCCTGCGCAATGCCCCGCGCTGCTGGGACGTCATCCAGCCCCTGCTCTGCGCTGTCTACATGCCCAAGTGTGAGGATGGGCAGGTGGAGCTGCCCAGCCAGACCCTGTGCCAGGCCACGCGGGCACCCTGCACCATTGTGGAGCGCGAGCGCGGCTGGCCCGACTTCCTCAAGTGCACCACGGATCGCTTCCCCGAGGGCTGCCCGGTACGGCACGGGCAGGGGGGAGTGGGGGGAAAGCCACTCTCTGGAGGAGAGAAGGGCTGGTGTTGGTCAGCCTGGAGAAGGGAAGGCTCCAGGGAGAGCTTCCAGCACGTTCCAGGGGCTCCAGGAGAGCTGCAGAGGGACTGGGGCCAAGGCCTGCAGGGACAGCACCCAGGGAATGGCTCCCAGTGCCAGAGGGCAGCCAGGGATGGGATCTTGGCAATGAGGAATTCCTGGCTGGGCTGGGATTGCCAGAGCAGCTGGGGCTGCCCCTGCATCCCTGGCAGTGCCCCAGGCCAGGCTGGACACTGGGGCTGGAGCAGCCTGGGACAGGAGGAGGTGGCCCTGCCATGGCAGGGTGGCACTGCAGGGGCTCTGAGGTCCCTTCCCACCCAACCCATTCCATGATTCCCTGGTAATTCTATGGAACCCAGCTGTCCCCTGCCTTCCACAGGGGACTGATGTCCATCTTGGCCATGGGGGCGTCTCCTCCTCCTCCTCCTCCTTCTCCCCCTCCTCCTCCTCCTCCTCCTCCCCCTCACAGCCTGGTTTCCCCTCTGGCAGAACGAGGTGCAGAACATCAAGTTCAACAGCTCGGGGCAGTGCGAGGCACCGCTGGTGAGGACGGACAACCCCAAGAGCTGGTACGAGGACGTGGAGGGCTGCGGCATCCAGTGCCAGAACCCGCTGTTCACCGAGAAGGAGCACCGCGAGATGCACGTCTACATCGCCGCCTTCAGCTCCGTCACCATCTTCTGCACCTTCTTCACCCTGGTGAGGCACGAGCTCCTTCTGGGGCGCTGTCCCCAAAAGGGGATGGGCACCGAGCTGTCGCTTTCTCCACCCCTCCAGGCCACGTTTGTTGCTGACTGGAGGAACTCCAACCGCTACCCCGCCGTCATCCTGTTCTACGTCAACGCCTGCTTCTTTGTGGGCAGCAT